ACCAGATCCAAAGGTTAGAAAGCAAACAAATGGAAAAGCAAAAACAAGAAGAGAAAGGAGAACAGCTGCCAAAGCAGAAAAGCAACAAAAGCAAAGAGCAGAAAGACAAAAACACAAAAAGCAGCAGAAGCAGAAAAGCAGCAAAAGCAGAAAAGCAACAAAAGCAGCAGAAGCAGAAAAGCAAAAGCAGAAAAGCAACAAAAGCAAAAAAGCAGCAGAAGCAGAAACGCAGCAAAAGCAGAATCCGAAAAAAAAAATATATATATATATCCCAAACAAAATTTAAAAAAAATGAAAAAAAAAGAAGAAAAAAAAACGCCCCTCCCTTAAAAAGTGAGTGTTTGCGAAAAGACCGGCCAAACATGATCGTGATGATCAACGGCGTTGCGCCGGGTGTCTCTCGTTCGCTTTGGTGGGGCACGCTTCCGGTAAGCCAGTCCTTCCGTGGAGCAATCGCGGCTGGCACACGTTTGACAAACAAGCATGGATATGCCTCCACACCTTACACGCATTTGTGTTGGTTTACCTGGTTGCTGTCACATTATTAAAAAATTAAATCATCAACTACCTCAGAAACTTCTCTTTCTGGCTCTGACTTTCCGTCCTTGCAGATGAAGGTGGGCATAGCCTGAATTCGGCTGGCACTTCACTGCCCAAATGGCCGCTTCCATTGCCACTCCTGTGCCCATGTGGGCCATGTCTCACCCATTGGGAGCTCAGATCGTGCATGTTCCAAACACCCCCAGATCAAACCCAAGTTGGAACCATCCCCTCCAAAGAATGATCAAACACATCCATCCATCCATCCATCCATCCTTCCTTCCTTCCATCCATCCATCCTTCCTTCCTTCCATCCATCCTTCCTTCCATCCATCCTTCCTTCCTTCCATCCATCCATCCATCCTTCCTTCCATCCATCCTTCCTTCCATCCATCCTTCCTTCCTTCCATCCATCCTTCCATCCATCCATCCATCCTTCCTTCCTTCCATCCATCCATCCTTCCTTCCTTCCATCCATCCTTCCTTCCATCCATCCTTCCTTCCATCCATCCATCCTTCCTTCCTTCCTGCCTTCCTTCCTTCCATCCTTCCTTCCTTCCATCCTTCCTTCCTTCCATCCTTCCTTCCATCCATCCATCCTTCCTTCCATCCATCCTTCCATCCATCCATCCATCCTTCCTTCCTTCCTTCCTGCCTTCCATCCATCCATCCATCCATCCTTCCTTCCTGCCTTCCTTCCATCCATCCATCCATCCTTCCTTCCATCCATCCATCCTTCCTTCCATCCATCCATCCTTCCATCCATCCATCCATCCTTCCTTCCTTCCATCCATCCTTCCATTCATCCTTCCTTCCATCCATCCATCCTTCCTTCCATCCATCCTTCCATCCATTCTTCCTTTCTTCCTGCCTTCCTTCCATCCATCCATCCATCCTTCCTTCCTTCCATCCATCCTTCCTTCCATCCATCCTTCCTTCCTTCCATCCATCTTCCTTCCATCCATCCATCCTTCCTTCCATCCATCCTTCCTTCCATCCATCCATCCTTCCTTCCTTCCTGCCTGCCTTCCTTCCTTCCTTCCTTCCTGCCTGCCTGCCTTCCTTTCCAAAAGCTTGCGACTTCCGCTGCGCGCGGCCCCGCAGTCCGGCTGAACGGCTCCCAGAGTTTGTCAAGCCCCTCCTCAGTGTGATGCTTGGGAAAGGCCAATGTGAGGATGCAGGACGAAGAAGCACAAAGCCACTGGAACGACTCTCAAGTCATAGTTCTTGTCAGTTTTTGTGATATGCTGTGTTGGTGCTTCCTTGGTGTTTCCTTAGCTCAACCCCAAGGTGTTTCCTCGGACAACAGACCGAGCGGACCGAGCGCCTGAACCCAAGACCCGCCGGAAAACACGTTCTCGTCTCTGCGTCTCTCGTCTCGCCGGGGGTCCGCTGGAGCCGCTGGAGCAAGGCGCAGGCCTCTTTGCAGGTCAAATCCTCCAGGCTTCGCACCTCCAAGGGCTCTGGAGCACCTGATCTGAAGGACCGGCCACTGCGCCACCCCGAAAACCATGCGATGAACGCACGCATTTCCGAGAGTCCATAAGTGAAAACCGCTGCGTGAATGAAAACCGCTGCATGGCTGAGAATCCGACACATCATGTTCCATCCTTATGTTCCATCTTTGAGGGGCACCTTCTTTCAACTCTCGGCCGAAAACCTCCACTCCGCTGCTCCGGTGCTCCCCTGCACACCTTGAAGACCGTGGGCTTCGCGGAGCTTCCCCAGCAGCTGGCGGACCCCCTCCGGCGTGGCCTCGGGCGCGGGATGCGTTGCGGTGATCGCCTCGTCCAAGGCCAGGCACAGCTCCCACCAGGGGTCCTGAGGGCATGGTAAGTCAGGCTGGCTGATGTGTTTCTTTCATCCGCCGCCTCCTGCTACGGATTGCCTGCCACCAGAACCTCTAGAAGTGACCTGTTGGAAGATGCAGGTACTTGACTTGCTTCAATAGGGTTGGTTGGGCCATGAAAGGTCAATGTGGACTCTTGCGATGCTCCACCTCGCACTTTCGATCACGAGATACAGAGATGCATGGAGTTTCATCGTGTTTGAAGCTGCCGGTTTATGACTTGTTTCTTTCGATTGTGAGGTCTGCCAATCACAGGCCTGTGGTTAAGATCCAGGATCTGAACGACTCCTACTTCGTACACCTGTTCTGAGCGGATTCCTCACCCATTGATTTTAGTCCTTCCACCTTTAAGCTTCTTTCCTCGATGGCGAACATCAATCCGGCGGAATGAATGTGAGTCCAAGGTGCAGGTTCCACAGTGGTCCCCTTCTATTTCATGCCCCCTCCACCAAGAAAACCAAATATCCAAGTGGGTCCACGAGGCATCTACTCGTAACGGACTTCACCAGGGGTTCACGTCTGAATTCCCGAACCCTCTTGCAATGCGCCTCACAGAATGCAAGTTCCCATAAGGGAGGAAAGAAACCACCCAGCACGGTGGTCAACTCCGCCTATCCCGACTTTCGATGGCTCTCATGACTTTCATGGGGCCCAGGAGCTTTGCACACTCCAAGCTTCAAAGTCCAGACCTTCCCTCAATGCCCGCCATCGTCTTCGCCGGTGACTTTGCAAGATCACCAGCGCCCGCTCCGGCTCGATCTTTTGCAAGGAAAACTGCAGCCGCCAAGGGCGCTTCCCTGAAGGAGAAGCGAAAGAATCTGCAGTATGGAGCTGGAAGTGTGGGTGCTCTGCAACGAAGTGCACTTGCAGATGTGAACATTCAACCCCTATCCTCTGGTCTCCGGCGGGTGTTTCTCTGCCGATGACTTTACGGCACGTGCCCAGGTGGTTGTTGGCACGATGCCATTGTGCTCCAATAAACGAAAATGGCAAGCTATCGTGTTCAGTAATACTCCGGCGTGCTCGCATTTATTTGGGTCTTCCTGGCCTACATGCAGTTATATAAGAAAACTGTATAGACATGTCGCACAAAAATGATCAAAAATGAGTGCGTTTATTTAGGGGGGGATACAAACACCATGTAGTTCTCCAATCACGGGTTCTGATCTCCAAAGAAGACGCCGTGGCCATTGACGGGAGGATTAATGTGGAAGACTTGAAACAAGCGAAACAGGCTTCCTCCCATCGACACCCTGGTAGCACTCCCTGGGCCTGAGGGTAGCACTCCCTGGGCCTGGAGCTCTTGAACAAAGCTGTCCACCTGTCTAGGCGTCACCGGTGCCGCTCCCACAGCATCCCCTGTGAGGGACGCTGAAAGCTCTGGCTCTGTGGTGCTGAGCTCCTGCTGCGACTGGAAAACACGCACAAAGCGCCGCAGCGCCTGGGCGACGTCGCGCCAAGCGCGGCGAAGCGACGTGAAACACGGCTGAAGGACCTGAAGACTTGGCCTCACGGTGGGAGAAAACCTCTGAAGGACCCTTGGGGGACAAGGGTGAGCAACACCTTGCGGCAGAGCAACACCTTTCCGAGTGCCATTTCAGTGTCTTTCGGGATGCCAACAGTTTCTCTCAAAAGTCCAACAGCGGGCGCACCCTTCACTCCGGCGCCTGTGTCTTCTCCTCGGCGGAGGATGTCAGCGCCCAGGAGGTCAGCGCTTTGCTCATGTGCGCGCGCCACTTTTGGTAGGACTCCTGTTCGGACCACTCGACGCGAGCGAAGGACGCCGGTGGACCGGTGAAATGGGAAAGCAAGGATTTTGGAGAGGCTTCGAAACACGGAAGATCCAAGAAAGCAAATTGGCATCTGTCATCTGCGCGGTGCGATCCGTCTGGTCGCATCCGAATTTGATCTTCCATGGGGGCGAATTTCACACCATCGGCCCACAGGGGTCAAGAAACGAGCAAGGAAACTCTATGGCAGCTGGTCACATCACTAGCTTCAACAGCACGATGCATCAGCCCCGCACCACACCCTGCAGGATGCCCACGATGGGTTGGTGCCCTGCTATGTTCCAACTTGATGGAAACTCCAATCAGGCAGAAGGTTTTCCAATAGCTACATGCTTGTGTCCATCAACCAGAGTTTTGGGGCGTCGGACGTCAATCGGAATCTGTTGAACCATTTAAGGACAACAGCATCTCTCAGCAAACTTTCCACAAAAAGAATCTGGATAGCACCAAGCTATGCATGTTGTGTCTGCTACAACACTAACACAGTTGCCTCCTCGAACATTGCAAGCACTTCATTCATATAGAACTATGCGTGTTTTTCAACATCTACAGAAGTCCATCTGTTAGTGACAGTGCAGGGTTGCACAGCACGGCAGTCCGTCTCTCGGCTCCTTCTTCAGAAATCGATAGTCTTCCATGATGGGATGCAAGTAACCTGCCAAAAGCCCCGCCACCATTGAAATTGTTCAAATGTCCTCCTGACGTTAGATTGAAGCTGTTCCCGCAGCAATGTCACCTTGAAGATCCTTAAAGGATTTCGAGGCTTCTGGGCGTCAACGTGTCCCACATCTTTGACTTCTGTAATGAAGAAAGCGCCTGAAGTCCAAACAGGAACCCACAGACCATGGACCATGGGATGTGAAGGTCGGCCAGGAAGTGAAGAAATCCATCCTTCGTCTCCAGGATATCCATGCCACGAACGGCAAGTCCCCCATGCCACGAACGGTCGTTCCACTCGCCCGCCCCGAGGCCTCGATCATGAAAGGCCAGAAGATCCCCCAAAGCCACGCACGAGTGCTGCAAGCCGCCTGCGTCACATCCACAACGAGAAGCGGAGACCCACCAGTGGAAAGGCAAGCGAGAGAGGGTTCATGGCTAAGTCAAGCAATTCAGAAACGATGATGCACAACAAAGAATCAAAACAACAAAGGCCTGTTGAAACACCAAAAGATCTTCTAAAGCTCACCAGTCATATTGTCTGAGGAGTTCTGAGGTTGAAATGCCTATACAACTATCCTAAATGCTAGACCCACTCTTCTCTTCACTTGGTTCCACTCCCTCAGCTTCCATGAGGGAGTTCAGACCCCCAAAGCGTCCCCTCTCAGCGCCGTTCACACGGTCGGGCCGCCTGGCAGCTTCACCTTCATGAGGCCTAAGTGGAGACCCACCTTCTCCAGCACAGACAGCACGGCATCATCAATACCTCCCAAGCAGGTTCAGCGGCACCACTTCGCGGACGGGGCTGTCTGCGAGGCTTTCCCACTTTGCGTTAAGCATTTCACCTCTTATCGCTCGTGTTGTTAGGCTATAACCGAAGCATCGAAAATCAGACTCGTCAGTTGGTACTCCTAAGCAGGTCAACCCCTAAGAATCACCGGAAGCTCCTCTACTAACCCTATCCACAACCCCCTTTGGGACCTCTCCTGGCCTCTGGGACCCCCCAAGGCCACCAGAATCTCCCGGATGGGCTGCTCCGGCTGCGCGAACATCGCCAGGCTCGTGCCGAAGGAGCCCACCTCTTCAGCTCCGGCCGGCCGCTCCACTGACGGGACCCCAGCAACGCCGTACACGGGGTTGCTTCATGGACACCCTGAGTCACCTCTTTAAGGGGCTGCGTTCCAGGCTTTTTTTTTCAGCATCTTCTGAAACATCTCGGTTTCAAGGGTTTGATGCCATATGAATGCCAAAAGGGTTTAGTTTAGCTTGCCGCTGGCCGTAGGGCTTCCGAAAAAATGAGAAAAAAGAACAAAAGAAAACAACGATCCGGGCCATCCATCCTCGGAGATCCGACTCACCGGTGCCATCCATCATCGGAACGAACATCCCATCCACCGGCTTAGCCGGAGGTCCCATGCGGGGTGGTGAAATAAACATGTTGGAGGCCTCCACGCCATCCTTGTCCAGCAGCAGTCCTCCAAGGCGGGATCGGCTGGAATTGTGAACAGAATGCAGCGATGTGCTTTGCTGGAGTGGTACCTGTGGCGTCTGCAAGTGAAGGACCTGCAGCTGATAGGGAAGACGATGATTTGGGTGGCTAGTAGTCCTACAAAGCAATCCCTATGACTTGAGCACTCCTTCATGCTAGCCACAGCACGCGACCGCTGGCTGGCTGGCTGGCTGGCTGGCTGGCTGGCTGGCTGGCTGGCTCGTGGTGTCCAACATGGTCCAACAATCGACCCGTCGTGCTTACCAAATTATACATATACCAGGAGTCACAAATTATGGTGTTTAGTCCCTAAGTGAGTGGATAATGGGGACCCGTATCCTCCATTAAGCACCCCTTTGTGACTGCTGGTATATATATATAACTATATATACAGTGTTGATCATTGATCTTGTAGAATTTGAAACCGGTGGCTTCACAGTCTAGCTGGGCAGATTTGATGCAGGCCGGCCACTGTTTCCACACATTCAGGACGCGCGCGCAAGCAGTCCTACACTGACACCGCCCCTCTCTTCTGCTTTTTCTCGAAGCTCTTGGACCTGCCAGGCGCAAGAATGTCCAGCCCCTCACAACGCCCCAGTCTTCTCCCTCAAAGCACCTACTCGAGCCTTTCGTCCACACTTCATGCCTGTCATGCCTCCCTCACCCCACGTGGCGTTCAGAGCCAAGCTGCCTAATTACCCAGAACAGCCCGAGAATGTCCATCTTTCCATCATCTTCCATACCTTTTCAATCCCCCAACAGGCCGATCCACTCCCCATCTCTGCCTTGTCCTTGATCCATTGCTCCCAGCGCTGGCCTCCCTGCCTTGGATCTCCCAAGTGCCCAAGTGCCCAAGTCCCCCCAAAAGAACAAAACAGCTGGAGTAGAACTGGTTTGATTTCACCTGTTGCACGGGCTCCCCATGGCCTCCACCAGTCTGGCCCCCCACCGCGCGTCCAACCGCGCTTCCAACCGCGCTGTGACCCAGCTAGCTTCACGTTCCAAGGGGCCAAGTCGTAAGCTTCACGCCAGAGGCTTGTGGCGTGACCTCCTTCCTGTGGACCGCTAAGGCGGTCCCAATCACATTCTCCTGGCTCCGGAGCGAAGGGAAGTGAGCCGTTAGGCGAAGCGTACGGAGAAGTGAGACAAGGGAGCCGCTAAGCTCATAGAGCCTATATACTCCCTACGGCAAAGAAAGAGAGAGAGAGAGAGAGCGGCATCACGAGTTACAGCGCCTCTTTGCGGCATCACTCGTAGTTGCCAGACGGCAAAGATAGGATTGATAAAATCGATTAAGTCAAAGGAGCATTTCTGTGGGATGTTGTTCAACTAACGAGCATGCGATGAGGACTCTTCCGATCTGCGTGGTTCATTTTTGGCACAAGCACGTACTCTCCCAAACCCTCCTCGGTGGGAGGCTTCCTGCCCATGGTCCACAAGTAGTGGTTGAACTGCCTCAGGCATCGCTTCTCTCATGCGCTCTTCTCTTTCGAAAGGCGCGGTGGCATCACGGAGAGGCAGACACCACATGGTTCCTCCGAACACGGTTTTTCTTCGCACCAATGACGAAAAACCCTTGGGCCCTTGGTCCCTGGGCTGTCGCTCGCCCCGAACGGTCAGGTCGCCTGCAGCCGGACTTCACATGGGGGCCGCGCCTGAGATTGTAGCTGATTCCAAGTCTAGGAGACAGGCAATGGAAGCCCTCCACATCCTGCAGCGGTTCTCTTGAAAGATATGATATAGCGCACTTGTTTGTGGCTTTATATTGTGGCCTGCCGTGATTCATATCCAATTGGTGACACCAAGCAACAAAAAACTGAATCGAGAAATAATGAAATCAGACATGAACAGAATTCAAAGTCGTCACCTGCTGTTCGTCCATGGTCACCCCATCGCCCCTGTCTGCTTGATCTTGACCCACCAGCAAAACCCCAACGGTGGAAGCACATGGAAGTCCGAATGTTGTTCCTGGATGCCCCCAGATGGCTGATTTCCCATCCAGCGGCTCCTTGCGGAACTGCAAGTTGGAGGGGTCAACGCACATACGCAAGCTGATCTGCATGTTGTCCAAGCGGTGCCTTCGACGTCGGTATGGAAGGTATGCCACTTTTGTGAGCTCAGTGTCACAGGTGACTTTAGCATGAGTGCTGTAGTCATGCAAGCCGCCGATTCAAGATCCACCGCAAGAGTATTTCCCTTACATCCACCCCCTGGTGTCCCGTGACCCAACCAGCCTCCAGGTGTCTGCGATATGGCCACAGCAAAAGCATCGCCCTGGCCCGTCCCTGCGGAAATTCTGCGCGGTGAGGTCCTCCTTTTCGAAATAGATGCCATTGGGATTCTCGCCCTGGCTGGAGGAAGCTGATAGGAACCAGGGCCAAACACTTCAGATTTGGAGAGGCTGCCTCACACACGGCCACATGGACTCATGGACTCTGACATCTGAAGAGGCGCCAACCATCTTTCAGAGTCTGAAATTCGAGTTCGACCCTTTTAACTGCCCAAAGTGTGCCATGGCATCTGCGACTTTCATCTGTTCACTTCACCTTCAACCTCGGCCCCTTTGAGTTCCACACATCTCGGAGCACACTCACCCAGAAGCGACACAAAGAACAGCACGCCTCCCAGTAAAGGATATGATACCTCACATCTGATTCCATGGCGCCGTTTTCATGGCGCCCAGCAGTCTGCCACTGGGGCGCGTGTGACGGACGGGTGGAACGCCAACAGGCTCGGTCAGAGAAAACACCAACGAACGACACATGGAGTGACGTGTGCAAAGCATGCTATCAGAATTATCAGATCTGTCAGGTTGTAGGTTTCTATCTACAGCTCATGGTGTAGGAAACTAGACTTCTTGACTTGATTGCTAACCTGACCTATTAAGCATGAGTCTTCCTCCAGAGTTGAGGGGGCTGAGTTGGAACTGGGGGCCAAAGCCTGCCGAATCGCCCTTAGAACGGAGGAGTACTGACAATTGACTCATCCCTACCACGTCTTGGCACATTTGCAGATCCTTGCGGGCTTTTCTTGCGGGCTCTTGGCTCTTGATATCAATCAATGCTCCGATTCAGCTCATGCCGCATGCTACTTTTCGAGCCCGGCCAGGACGAGAACTGACCAACACCGACCAACAGCTCTGTCGAGGCCGAAGCGGCGCTTCCAGCCCAGGGCCCAGCTCCTTGCCCACCAACTTCACGCCCTTCAGGGCATTCAGGTAGGTCCAGATGAAGATGACCGTCGGATCCCCACCCGAACCTGGCCGGAGCAGAAGGCAGCACGGGCGGAAGAAACCAGCACCGCTTCTCGAATTATGTTGTTCAAGGACGGATGCACACACACATATTTAAAAAAACAAAAATAAGTAATATATATATATACATACACACCTGACATGTGTGTGTGTGTGTGCGTGTGTGTGAAACGCATGAATTCCATTGAATTCCATGAAAGACATGGGATCATATGATCATATCAAACCCATCCCTTTCCCCATCAACCCGTGGGTGAAGCCAGTCCGAGGGACCCCAAGAAAAGGGGTCTAAAGCGCCTGGTGCTTTGTGCCGCTTGAGTGTCAAGAGCTCATACCTCGCTGGGGTGATGTCTTCCAAAATGGAGCTGGTGGACGATCAACAATTGTCCCCTAGGTTCACCAAAACTTCGCGAAAGCGCGAGCGAAGAGCCCCAAAGCGGGAAGTTCGTGGGTCGCAAACCCACTGGAGGGATGAAGTAAGGAGAGATGGCCGAAGCTCCTCAAAAGAGAAGGATAGAGACTGAGTGTGGGTTGGATATTGCTCCGTCAGTGGGCTGAGGTCGGGCAACGTCATCGGCGGTGCAAAAGGCACAGCGGCACAACCATCGGACCAGCAGGCATGAGAAAGCTCCAGTTCGTCATGCGACTAAGCCGATTCTGGGGCCATGGGCGTGGTCACACTGTAGGAATCAATCTGAATGGCATTGAAGGTGGTCAGCACCAGCAGCACCACCTCAGGTTGTTCAGATGACCCTCGACTCTTGCGGAAGGAGATTCAGCCTCCATTTTGGGGGGGGGCACCTAAATCAGGAGGGCACCGCGCGTCATGGATGGAGTCAGTCATTGCAGGCTCTGGAGTGCCACATCCACTATGTTCCATCTTAACTGCAGCCCATGGACATGTTCCCAACGGACCCAACATGACCCTAAGATCCATCCAGACACCCAATCTCTCCGACCCCGCCCGTCGCGATGTCATGAGGCCCGGCCCGGTGGGGCGGGCGAGTGTCGCGTCAGGGACCGATGACGGAGCCAACTCGCGCGGCCATTCCAAGGCACCACAATGATGTATGAGAAGAGGATGATGGGCGCAACCTGGGACGCGGCTTGCTGGAGGTTTGCTGGTGAATGGTGGGCTGCAGAAATTCGCGGAGGGGTGCTTGGTGGGTGCTGTGACAGCCACACCTCCAAACGAAAGTGTAATTTCGAAAGGCTGCCAAACACTGCAAAAAGACAACATGAGCAACGTAGCTGGACTGATGCCATGAAATGAAACTGCATGTCAAAAAGCAGGAAGATGATAGCAGTGACACGACATTTGGAGGAGGCTTGACATAAAAATGGAAGTTTTGATCCAAACTGCTGAAATCTCTCAAAGACCTGTACACATGCGTTTCGGTGAATCCTTGGGCATGGGTTGTACTGGGATGAGACCCCGGCCAGGCTGTTGTTCTTGTCCTTGGGCGTGGCGCGGAATTCCGACTGTGGGGCCCATCGGAAAAGGGCAATAGATGACTCATATCTGCTTTTTGCTTATCGGGTACCTTCTGGCCACTCGGTGACCACCTGTCAGTGCTGTTCTCCTGCAGAGAATCGTTAAACAAGCCAAGTTGGGAAAACAACATGTGATGTTCTTCGCTTGAGAGGGGAACCGCTGGGCTAGCTGAATCATTGAACCAGTTCCTAGTTCCCTACCTGCTATATAATCAATTCCATTTCCACATTTACACATAGTCATGCAGCAGTGCACGCCTTGGCTTATCGTAGTCAGTGACAGTAACAGACACCAAAAATCCCTTTGAAGTTGTCCCATTTGGAGGCCGACGCCTCGCGATCTTCTTCAACCGTAGCTTGATCGAATACAAATTGCCTCCCCCACTCAATCCATCCCCCGGGCGCCCCGAACGATCACCGGGCCCAGATCCACACCGCCCGCTGGCGCAGTGGCGACCGCCACCTCAAATCAGGGGTCAGGCGACTGTCTCCGACCGATTTGGGTTTCTTATGGGTTTGGCTGTGACCCACCCACTGCCATGATTCTTCTTAGTTTCTTGCTTGTGTCTGTCTCTGTGTGTGTGCGCTACGGTGCTTTCTCGTTTCTCTCCAGTGTTGCTTCGTCATGGGTTCGTTCAGTCTCTTGACTCTTGACTTCTATGATCTGTTATCTGGGTACACGCCTCTCTCTGTGCTGTGCAGCGTCTCTCCAACATGATGCCTAGCAGTCTTACCTTGCTGAGCCTTGTGGGGAAAGCCTTTCCTTACGGCCAATGTTAAAGCACCAAAGCTACCATTGACTCACGAAGCCTTCAGGATTCGCCACACGCTTGCTGCTGGGTTCCCACACAAAGGTGCTCCAAATGCTATTGTAGATCCCCGCCTGAACCGTTGACACAAGGGTCGATGGAGATCAAGAGATGAGTAATGTAGACTCTTGATCAATACCCCCAAAAAAAATACACATACTAAAAAACATCTGCATGGAAAGGTTTTACAATCCACACAAATTTCTTCATGGGCGTCCCCATGGTCCCAAATGGAAGAGCTCTCTTTGCCTCATTTGGAGCCACAGAGCTCTCTAAACGATGGAAGCCGCCCCCGTTCTCTGGAGTCCCCCGGCCAGCTGGAGAAACAAAGCAAATTATTTAATGGTAATAGATCCAAGGGATATGTCATAACCTTAGAGTTCTCCAGTCCACCTTGGATACGAGCATTCTCAGGGTGGTCTTGATCATGTTCATCCAACTGAGCAGCCATCCTAAGCAAGGCCCGTCATGGTTTCGTACGGTCCATGCCCACCCCTGCTCCTCTGTGCCGAAGCCGATGTAAATGGCCACCTGAAGGAACAGAAAAGCAGGACACCCTGATTCTTCAGCTGGATTCTTTTGGGATTCAGCTCTTGTGTCTGAGAAGCTGGCCCCTGCTGGCCTGATTGGAAGCCCACCAATCCAAGGTCATTAACATTCAACTAGCTGACTAGCTTCTCTTCAGCTGGACCCGCTGGATTTCGGGGCATTTGGGCCGACCTCCATGCACCGCAGTCCAGTCCACCGTGCGCGGTTTATGGTGGTTGTCCAGTTCCGCCGAGGTGCTGCAAAGCCGAAGAGGCTCACCGACAAAAGCGAGGAATACTTCAGCAGTGCCTCGACCGCTGCGGCGGTCCGGTCCGACAAAGGGTCAGACCCTGTGGGGGTCTGACCAGGTGACTTAGGGGTACTGAAAACCCACTGGCCGTGGCTGGCCAAACCAAAAAGCCCAGCACTTCACCACTTGGGTGAGTCTCACGGATCATGTTCAAAATCATCTACCAGTGTTCGGTGTCTAGTTTTCGCCTTTAGCCATCGGTTTGGGCTCGAACTCGGTCATACTTTGGCCCACTTGTTTGAACAAGCCTTTTGGGGTCCCCCCCCGGACACGCCATCACCTTCGGACCACGCCCTCGTGATACAGCAGGGGCTCCGTGCGATACAGCAGCGCTCAAAAATCCGGACGAAGGGCAGGAACCTTCGTCCGAGCGTGGCAACGACGGATCCGGCGATCCCCGGCGTCTCGCCTCGGAATCTTCTGTAAAGGAATCTTGCAAGCTATGGACCCATGAAATTCGGGGACCAGGCTCATGCAGCGCCGAAATACTCTACCCGAATCTCAGGCCGGTCGGCCTGTCCCAATACCAGTCCTCTTCCACCCTCCTCTCTACACAAAGTGGAATGTGCAGGATCCACACCGTCGGCCCATCGGCCGACTGGGAGGCTCTAGCCTTCGGGCGCCTTCGGGCGCCTTCGGGCGCCTTCGGTCAGGCGCCCGCACGTGCGAGAGAGCGTGAGGTACTTCATCACCCGGAGCCAGGTGATCTCGGTCGCTCGCGGCGGCATTGAGCATCCCTCGAAACGGAGATCCCGAGGTCCATCGAAGAGCTTTGGTTGGATTTTTTGGGTTCCAATAGCGTCTTGGATGCACTCCCTCAGCTGGACTCCAGGGACAAGTGCATTGTATGATTGTGCTGCGCGATGGCCATCAAACTCCTCTCAACGATTCCAGCCAGAAAGTGTCATCAAAAAAGGCATAATGGAGGGCCAGGGTTGGGGACCCAGAATCAAAGTCTCGGCTGGGTCTTCTGCGAGCCTTCTATGAATGTTCATGTTAATCCCCAAAGAGGCACCAAGCCTTCTTCATGAGGCTTCCATTGCTCTCAACTAATCATTTGTCCGTATAAAGTGTTTCAAGAATACTAAAAACTTTGGAGTGACCTTCTTGGCACCTTGGGCTCTAGAAAGGAGGCCTTGTTCAAGCTATGCCACTGGAGGGTTCGCAAGTCTGTCCAGCAATTCCGCGCAACACTCATCTGACTCGGGTGAACGTGGGGTGCCGGCCAATCCAAGCAAGGCTTGTAAGCCCATCACCAGCTCCATGTTTGGAACCTTGACAGCATCGAGCGGAAACATACAGTAATGATAACGGGAAACCCTTGCGCATCTTTGTCCACGTCCCATGTCGATCCGGAGATGTACATCATTTGGCATGGAATTTCCCGCGGAGTGTCCGACCTTCTTGGAGTTCTCCCCGGCCGTCTCACCCAGTGATTGCCCAGCTCCGAGGCCGGCACCAGGGTGCCAATGGGATAGAACATCTCCTTGGGATGGCATTCCCCTGGTTGGTCAGATATCAAGCTCCAGAAAGGTTCGGCTATATGCCTCTAGACACATGGCATCACATGGGCACGTCTATGAAAAAGGCCAGGTAAACATGGCACACATGCAGTGCACACGCACACAGCACACCGGATAACCAATCACTGAGTTCACCCACCGGATCACTAATCGCCTCTGGCATGAGGTTCGGCAGCGTGTCCTGACCAAAAGCAGGGGTTGCTATTCCCAAGTGGCCCGGAATGAATGGCATACTCCAGTGTTCAATGACGAACCCAAAAAATGGAAGACAATTTGTTGGAAAGGCGGGTCTCTTGTCAGTTCCCTTTCAGTTCCTTTTGAAAGGGAGGGGTCCGTGTTTGTGTTGAGCCTGACCAGTGGGGACAGCCAGAGTCTCAGAGCTAAAGCCTGATTTGAACTTGACGCACTCCGCAGCGCACTGTCAGCTCAAATGGCCAACGCTGAGGTCCCCCACGGCGACTTGGAAGATCTGAATTTTCAAGAGCAACATGATGGCCCAAACCTGCGCAGGAGATGCCCGCCCAAAGCGTAGCAGATTTTGGCCCAGGAGATGTCTCATCCTGGGTGAATGTTGGCACCCACCAAGCCGAAAAAATGGGATGTTCGTGCAATTCTTGTTTTGGAGGCACTGGAGGGCAAAACAAATAAATGTTCTATGGATGCATGGACCATACCGCATCACGGCAAATCTCATATCGAAGCGAAGAAAAAGCTATGAAAGGCTCACAGGCCCAGATGCCAGGGCAGCCATTTTGAACCATTGGAATGCCTCTGCCTCTGCCGGATCCCCATTTCAGGACCACTTCTCTTTGTACAAGCGCCACGGTTCAGAGAACCAGGCGACACGTGCTCGCAACGTGCGTTCCTAGACGAAACTCATCTGCAAAAGGCGTCAAGAGGTTCCCACCACAGAAGCCTCAACCCATGTCCAGCACACATTCATGAGGAGGATCTTGATTGGATTCATCCTTTCATCTTGGGACCTCTCAATCAAGCCGCTTTGGAGATTGCATTGTCATCTAGCTCCTCATTCGCCTTCTCAGCTGCGTAGAATGTGCAGCGCCCTTAGTTGGCAAGAGTATCGAATCCACTGCAACTGATCACTAAAATAGAATCCAAAAGTCGACGACTCTTCTACCAAGCAGCCATCCTTGTCGGCTGCAGCACTCACATCGATGAAGTAGTCCTCGGAACAAAAACCATACAGAGTGACCCAGAGGGTGTGACCGGTCCAGACCCTATCAACCATTGCAGGACTTCGAGAATCAAATCCTGAAGGCTCAAAAGGCCTCAGCAGAGCGCTTGAGGAAACTCTATCACCCTGTCGGCGCTCATAGAACGATTTCGCCACCCGATCTCCGTGAGAGGTCTGCAGGATCCAAGCATCCATCATCTTGTCCAGCTTCATCTCATGTTTTCGCAGGCCCCCATAGCACCACTGGAATAGGAAGGTCCCACCTGCAACAGTTCCAACATTCAGGCCCTGCGCGGTTCCCAATGTGGAAAGCCATGACAAGTTATCCTTTCTGGTGTGTACCTTCCATCTTACAGGATCCGGAGATGGAGAGATGGAGAGGAACAGGCCAAAGCCCATGGCTGGTCACATCTGAGTGTCGTGGCAAAGTCACCAACTCCGTCCGCTTGCGCCAGCGCGCCATCTCAACCATGTGCCATCGGCCTGGTCTGAGAAGTTTCTGGGCAAGTCTGAGATCAGAAGATTCCATTGGGCGCTGGCCCATGTCACTGATCACTGCGTCCTTGGATGGTCTAAGTGGGTGTGGACAAACTCTGCAAACTCGTTTGGGGTAAACATCGTTTGATAGTTTGCCCCGGGAGTTCCGTGCCACCTGGCGCTTCAGGCCAAGCCTTTCATCCACAACTATGAGCACCCACGATACCAGCAAAGCTAACACTTGACCGATGTTTGTTGATTGTCCCTGCTGCGAGCTTGCATACCGCATAGCCATAGAAAGCGGCCAAATGACATGGCGGCCCCCCCCGACGAGAACAAGGAGGTCATCTGCTAACAAAACTAGATCCTGTCTCGAGCTTCAAACTTCGCATCCTGCTTCAGCAAGGACTTCATCCCGGTGGTCGCATCTGCAAGCATCACATCTCCTGAGAGCCACGTGCAAAGCGCGAGCTGGGTGTGAGGATGTCAGCACAATGTTACCCGTGGAAACCGAACATGTGCGAGCACAATAGCCGGCCGACTCTCTTCTGAAGCCAGGCAAGCCATAGAGATATATGATATATGGATATCTCACGTTAGGTTGTACAGCTTAAACAAAGCCTACATGCAATGGGACACATGTAAAGAAAAAGACAGAGAATTGGCCTTCAAAGCCAAAGTAGTCCCGTGCAGCTTCGACGATGGTGGGGTTCTTCTCGACGGTCAGGGCTTCGGATCCCGGGCATTGACTGGCCAAATAACTTTGATAATAGCCACCTGGGGAAAAAGCCAAGCTGAGCAAATCATATGAATGCTCAACCAACTCAACCAACCCAACCCGAACGATCTTCAGCCTTTCTGGACCTTTGACTAGAAATGGAAGGATCGATTGAGGGAGGCACTGCATCAAACTCACATCGCAAATTAAGCCCCAATAAACGTGGAGAACGATGTGAGTGCCCAAGGTTGCATCCAGGAACGACCAATTCTCAAAGAAACTGTCAGATTAACTCCCCAAAGACACAAACATGTGTCATGCACTCTGATGTTCGACCTGTTTTCTCGTGCTTGGCATGAATTCCCTCGTGTTCTCTGGCTCCGCGCCTCCAAGGCCCAGGAAGAGCACCTTCTGTGGTCTCTGCCTGCAGGTCTCCAGCCAGGGCAGCCATTGGACGGGCCAATCGGTCTTGTCGATGTTGGGCGCCTGCGGGAGGAATCGGTGGCCGGGCGGTTGCCTCGTTTGAGCTGCTCCCCCACCCTGGCAGGGCGTGGTCCACAAGTGCCCATTTTCCGATGCATTTGCACGAGTCCCTCTTCCACCAAAAAGGGAACCCAAAAGAGCCGCGGCTGGACCGCGCAACCAGGAAGTGCCGATGTTGGGGCGTTCCAACGAACCACGGCCGGCTGTGGAGCCTCGCGGCCCCGCAATCCTCGCGGCACTTCAAAGGGGGTGATCCAAAAAGAGCACCCAAACCCCAAAAAGTACAATCACTACACACAAAAAAACGAGAGTCACCACCGCCATCCACCACCACCACCGCACCATGTCGCTTCCGCCCCCGCCTGGCACTGAAACTTCTCCCGCACCGTCGGGTCCTCGCAGCTCAAGGTGGCCGGGGCCCGTGAGAGCGGCCAGCGCAGTAAGTGCGGCTTCTCACCAGTGCCTCGAGTGCTGGGCACGTGCCGGTCACGTGCAGGGCCGGTCAGGGCCAGCGAGCGGAACATCCGGAGCGCGGTGGCGCAAAGGAGCGGCATGGTTTAAAATTCTGACACACCCCGTGTCAGGGCCTTGAGAACAATTAAAGCACTGGACACAATTGGACGACAATACAATGGACCCACTTTCAAACGTCATGTTGCTCAACAAAGGCTTCACCCGCGCCCTCCGAGCAATGTTCGACTTGGGGAGTCATCCAGCAAAGTCCCTGCTCTGAACCCTGCTTATATAGCCTGGTTCTTAAACAAAAGCTTCAGGACAAGCCACAAGCGACAGAAGCTTCGACATAACCTGCAAAAAGGCCATTTAGAAAGCAAAGCCGAGTTATGGAAACAAAAGGCTGGAATGTCCAACAGTCCAACAGCAAGCCTTTGTATTGAATCTGCCCCAACGTGGCCAATGAACCACGTTAAGTTGTCCTGCATGACCAGACTGGCTGGCCAGTGCACCCCAAGCTCGCAGCCTGGGTCGTCATCAAAGACCAAGCTCCGCACGTTGTCACTGCCAATAATCACCTTGAAACAAGCTGTAGTGTTGGACGGGCTTCTCTTGTTAGCTTCCAAAACACAACCTTGCCTTTGCCTTGATTGCGTTTTGTGCCTGGATGCAGAACTCAACTGGCCAGCCAAGTCATCTCAACCCCTCCCTGGGCTACGCCAGAACAGCTTGCAAATGAATGCTCATCCCTCGTTCTCAGCCAAGGCACCCGCACCCCCCCAGTTCCTCCATGGCCTCCACTGTGGTACTGGCAAGTGTCCGAGCTGTTGACCTCAGGAGACAGGCTCCTGCCTCATCATCCCAAAGGGCCCAAAACCCCACAAAAGGCATATATATATATATATAGACTGCATGCTGCATACAGGAAACCCGACAGTCCGATCTTTCGAGAACCAGCCGTTTGGACAAGCAATCTGCTCCCCCAAGTCGAGAATCCCGCAGTTGACTTGATCCAGCACAATGGCCCAAAGGCCCCTTGCGGAAGCCCTTGCGGAAGGCATCTCCCATCGGAAGTTCCCAGCCCTTTTCATGCAAAAAACACTGCCTAGGCACTGCTTGGCTCAATGTGATGGGCAGCAAATCCAGCAAATGGCCTCAGTGATCACAAAAGCCTCTCCCCAAAACGGCACCAAAAAGCATATGGCAAATGCCCATCGTCCATCCGCCCTGGCTATCAAAAACCCTGTGTTGCGTCTCTTCTGATTTTATCCGAAACCTCTACAACGGGGAGGGGGAAGATTGCACTTGTGGCAAGCAAGCGGGAACCCATCTTGCTGCAAAGCACTCCCGCACCAACCTGGACCCCAGCCAAACACCTCAAAGAACATACTGTTTCTGTGATTCCTTCTCTGCAAGCCTTCAGAACCATTCGGCGCCGGGAGACTGATGGCATCCCCCAATGCGTAGAGCTTCATACTGCGCCGTCGAGCGCCCGTCTCGAGCCGAAAAGGCGTCGGCCTCGGCCCCCTCCGACGCCACGAGGCGCCCGCTTCAGCCGAAGGACCAGATCGTGCCCCCCCCCCCCCGGAAGCCGTGACGCGCCACGCGACGCGCCACGCAGCTGTTTGGTTGTTTTTTTTCGCCTTTTGGTGGGACCGATCGGCTCGCGCAAGCTGGTGAGCAATTCCTCAGATCTGCAGGAAGTGGACACACAACCTCAGTGGAGATCAGTTGGGCACCAAAGCTGCTCTCATCAATCAAACTGCACCTCTTTTCGGTATACTTTGAAGCCTTCCCTCCTTCCTTGTGCATAAGCTCGGGCAGGTGATTTTTCGAAGAGTCTCCGACCAACAGCTTGGCACCTCGCCTCGTGTTCAGCAATCCACCCAACACGTCCCGGCCTCACATTTCTTGCCCTCAAGATCGTGAAAGGTGAGCCGTTGCCGGTGGAGCCAGTTCCTGCAGCATCCATAGCATCTTCCGCACAACCGGAAAACCGGTCCAGGGTTGTAGCTCGATCCGCCCCAAAGAAAACAACGGGTTGTGTGTGTGTGCGATGGTTCTGCAACCATGCTTCCGGTGCTGCATGCCTTGTAATATGGTTGCCCGAAAAGCTTCCTTTGCAACCAAGGCTCCTGGAACAAAGTTGCAGGTCCGACTCAAAAGTGGAGGTGCTACTATACCTCATTTCTCATACAGCTGTGGGTCCAAAAAACGTAACCTTGTGGTTGCACGCTGAAAATGAACAGATTCCTCTATAAGGGATGTCAGCCCACCAGGATTTGGCGCTCCAGCTTTTAAAAAAGACCACGGCCATACAGTTCCAGCGGGAAACGTTTCGAAGCTCGACCCGAGCCACAAGGCATCACGAAGGATGGGGTGCCCCACATGCGCACATTGACTCCTGGAGAAAAGGACTTGGCACATTTTTGGTCAGACACTGCAGTAGTAGCTCATGCATGCTCATGCCAAAATGGCCTGCAAGTGGAGGAGGGAAATAGAGCACATGTCACATGCCCTGACCAAGAACCACTCCTAATCTGATGCTTGCGCCCGGTGGTGATCTCCACAACCACGCGGCTGAGAGCTCCCACCGGATGCCAGAGATGCTCCAAAACATCTACCGTTGTCCTGGCAGGCATTGGACCTGTTTCTCTGAAGAGGGGCCACTGGAAGGCACCTTTCCCAAATCCCATTTCTCCAAGGGATGCTCGTTGCTCACCTGTTCTAGCTAGTCACGTCCATGACACGGGCTACTGAAAGCCACAGGAGGTGTGATCCAAGATCCAAGATCTGGGTCCTTCCGAAACCCTAGCGCCAGTAGGTTGGAGGCCATCGCTCTTAGGTTAGAGGCCATCCCTTTTAGGTTGGAGGCCATCGCTCTTAGGTTGGAGGCCGTCGCTCTTAGGTTGGAGGCCATCGCTCTTAGGTTGGAGGCCATCGGTTGAAGACCATCGCTCTTAGGTTGAGACCATCGCTCTTGGTTGGAGACCGTCGCTCTTAGGTTGGAGACCATCGCTCTTAGGTTGGAGACCATCGCTCTTAGGTTGGAGGCCATCGCTCTTAGGTTGGAGGCCATCGCTCTTAGGTTGGAGACCACCGCTCTTAGGTTGGAGCCCATCGCTCTTAGGTTGGAGGCCATCGCTCTTAGGTTGGAGCCCATCGCTCTTAGGTTGGAGACCATCGCTCTTAGGTTGGAGACCATCGCTCTTAGGTTAGAGGCCATCGCTCTGAGGTTAGGGGCCATCGCTCTTAGGTTGGAGACCATCGCTCTTAGGTTGGAGATCATCGCTCTTAGGTTGGAGACCATCGCTCTTAGGTTGGAGACCATCGCTCTTAGGTTGGAGCCCATCGCTCTTAGGTTGGAGACCATCGCTCTTAGGTTGGAGGCCATCGGTCTGGTTGGAGGCCATCGCTCTTAGGTTGGAGACCATCTCTCTTGGGTTGGAGGCCACTTTAGGTTGGAGACCATCGCTCTTAGGTTGGAGGCCATCGCTCTTAGGTTGGAGCCCATCGCTCATAGGTTTGAGCCCATCGCTCTTAGGTTGGAGACCATGGCTCTTAGGTTGGAGATCATCGCTCTTAGGTTGGAGCCCATCGGTCTTAGGTTGGAGGCCATCGCTCTTAGGTTGGAGACCATCGCTCTTAGGTTGGAGCCCATCGCTCTTAGGTTGGAGACCATCGCTTAGGTTGGAGGCCATCGCTCTTAGGTTGGAGACCGTCGCTCTTAGGTTGGAGACCATCGCTCTTAGGTTGGAGACCAT